ACCATGATATTGATGTAATAATGTAATCATAATATAGTAGATATATGAAAATAATAATAATAAATAATAATAATATCAACTACGATAACAAGGCTCATCAAATTCGACCTCAAAATCCACTAAAATTGAATCAACACCAAATTTTATCCACGTAGTCCCTGAATCAGATATTCGAATAGTTGGCGGGACGATGCAGAAAGATTGAGTAAATTAAAAGAAAAAACAAGAAAATTGGAATAATATTACCACAAAGGCTCTTCTTGCCTTTATTTCCATCGCTAACTCATGCAATGATATAAACAAAGTTCTCATATGCAAATATATATATATTAATAACTAAATGAGAGGTGAAACACTTAATAACTTTTTGGCACATGGCTTTTAAATAGGTTTCTATATATTTTATCTTGTCTTTACAGATAAAAGCGCGTCGTTTATTCAAAGAAAAGACTCTAAATGTTCATACCCAGATCCTCTATCTTTTATTTTAAAAAATATTGTAAATGTTCACACTTACGACATCTTTCTGAACAGACACTAATTCCTGGTAAGAAACGTTCTTCAGGCAGGCGACGAGTGCTGAACCGTTCAGTGACTGCTGGCCATCCGCACCTGAACAGTTGAACATCAGACCAACCTTAGTAGCTATTTGCTTGTGGTCTTCCCTTAATGCCCAGGGACACAGCGCCGTTCCCGACTGCAGGATAGCTCGGCGAAACAGTCCTGGTGAAAGTTAGACTATATGTTAGACAAGTGTGGATATAGTTTGAATAGACGAAGCGATATGAACCAAGCATTTAATTCTATCCAGTTTGATAATGACGCAGGTTAGGTTAAGGAATAGGATTCAATCCAAAAGATAAAGTTTATACATAACAGAAAACACACTATACACAACATAAGCTTACTTAATGAAGAAACAAGGGAACTAGGTCTTTCTATAATCAAATCAGCAATATATTGCTCTGCTACTCTTTCGCTTAAATCAAAAGTATGTGCGTCCAAAGGTGCTCTCAGACTAAATGCCCGAGAATGCGTTTATTAAAATACTTAGTTTAAGATTTCATCTATAACATAAACACATCGATATGTTCATGTTTATACACTTTACCCCGTGACTGTAGTGCATTATCACGAACATATCGATTATGTTATAGATTAAAGTTTGAAAAAAAATCGCACAATTGGTCCGAAAACATCTTTGGACGCGCATATCCTCAACTTACGTTCACATCCCCATATTAAGGAATGCCCCAACGCCAGCCTCACCTGATGACATGGGAGATAGGACGTGGAAATGCACTGCCGCTCCCCCGGCGCTCTCCCCGAAGAGGTTGACCTTGCCCGGGTCTCCGCCGAGGTCACGGATGTTGTTTTGCACCCACAGGAGAGCCATCGTTTGGTCCTTGAGTCCTAGGTTGCCAGGCAGCTCACTATCCTCAGTCGATAAGAATCCTGCAAGTTCACAGCGGTTTCAGGAACACGAATTCATACTGTTCAAGTGAAACAGTAGAATCAATCAAGGCAGAATATACACAAAGAACATGACAACAATAGCAATGACGACTGAAGCCTAGGATCCTCTCGCTTGGCCTATCGAAAGTCACTAGGCCTATTTAAAGATACCTACCCAGAGTGGCCAGGCGATACTGTATGACCACGAGGACCACATCCTTCGTGAGGAGAGGAAGGGGCCCGAAGACCTCGCCGTGACCGTTTGCGAATCTTCCGCCGTGAATCCACACCATGACAGGCAAGTCCGACGCGTAAGGCTGGAAAAAGCGATCACGGAGATAAGCTGGGAATTGAGAGCGAACACATCAGTCGTCCTTTTATCATTTATCCTAATAGAAAATGGGTTTTTGAATTTCAATATTTCTTTATTTCATTATGTGTTCCAGTGACATACAATTGAGTTTTGAAATATCTTTTGATCGATGTAGATACTGAACTGACGTAATTGTGTATGAGCTGCTTTACAAGACCTATTAAGGCTTACTCGAGGGGTGTAGACGGAGAGATAGAGACAGTCTTCCTCCCCCTCAACAACAGACTCGCCCAACTGTGGGCCTTTCGGTGTGGCGATGGATCCATTTCTTATGCCTGTCCAAGGCCCTGCAGGAACAGGGTCCTTGCGAAAAAGGGCACAGTATTATTCGTATCCCGACTTAATATTAATCCCTCTATATGATAGAGCTCTATAAGCATTTTAGACATTAGGCGTATATAACAACACTATGTTTATGTTATTTCTACTAACAAGGAAAGAGAAGCTACTCCCAGTAAACCGCCAGATAACTCACCCTAAACCTTAGGTCCCCGACAGGAGGCTCGGCGAAGGGAATGGTCTTGAAGCTGTAGAAGACCCTCCCGTTTCCCGCCTCTGACTGGGCCCCAGCGATCACGCCCTGCTGGAGATGCACCTCCACCAAGGGCTCTGTGAGTGTTGTGGCTTTCTGCTGCTGCGCCGTCGACAGCGTAGCTATCCAGACGGACATCA